ATTAAAGCTCAGCCTGTGACTTCACTACAGAACAAACCTCCGACCACAGCAGCTGTGAAGCGTTGCCTCGTCACACTGCTGACAACTGCGATATACGTCAAAAAAAGCAGCAAAGTAACAAATACAGGAGCGTCCGACCCTGGAGCAGCGCCTCTGGGCCAGGCAGCATCCACAAACGGTTTAAGACCATCGACGACCCTCTGACGTGTGAGATGCACCGAGGCTGGAGCTAAAACACCTCAGGTGCAGCGCGTGTCAGCATACAAGTGCTAGGTGGCGCTATTTTTGTGTGGCAAGCATTTCTGCCATGGGCTGAAGGGAAGAGACAGGAGAATGAAGAGCAAACCTCCGAAAATCAGAGTGGCTCCGGCCCCCCCCACACAGGCCACCGACCAGGAGAGCTCGTGGTGAAGAGGGACGGAGTGGTCACTGGACAGGAGGGCCAGGACGGACTGGTGGAAGACCAGGATGGAGATGAGGACCAGGACACCTGCACCAGGAGACGGAGGGGGGGGCGAGGACAACAAAGAGTGTGTGTTAGTGTGGTACAGTCAGTGAGGATTTAAAGTTCAGAAATAACGTGTGTGTGTGTTGACGTGTGTGTGTGTGTGTGTGTGTGTGTTGTTTCCCTTCAGTCCCAGACTGAAGTACTCTCACAGCAGTATTGCAGTAGTACCTGACAGGATGAAGCAGAAGGCGGCCGGTTTGAGAAAGAACTGGACGCCTTTACTCAGGGCCATGGCGATGCAGACTGAACCGGTCACCATCAGGACCAGACTCAGCAGAGCCAAGATGGCTGCCGCAAGGTTTAGGTCTGTGAAGGAGAGGGGAGGCTGAAGGTGATCGCAGTAGTACTCGGCAGTACTACAGGGAGTACTGCATTAAAGTTGGGCATTAAAGTTTCTAGGAGTTTCCAATCTCTGCCCCCGGTGGTGAATCTATGAATGAGTTGAGTACGCGTCTGTAAAAATAACAGTTGGCATCGAACTGTGAGCAGGTGCAGCGGCAGTAAACTGATCCACTGGGCCACAGGCCAGGCCAAGGTGTTTGACTGGGGTTCAACATATGATTGTTTTCAGTAAAACATGGAAACGCAGTACAGGAGAAGTACTAGCTGTAGTACTCCCATGAGTTACTGTAGTTTGTTATGTTTTATTACCATATTGATGTGTGTGTGTGTGTGTGTGTGTGTGTGTGTGAGATAATGCATCAGGAGTTCTAACGTTAACCCTTCGTTCCCACAGTTGAACTGATCCACTGTACGTGAAGCTAATGCTAAGATTTTGAATCAAAACTTTTGATTGACGGTCCCTCCAGATTAGCCCCGCCCCCAACACACCCTACAGTAATACAGTACTTCACAACTAGTCACAACTAGTCAGTGAAATTACAGCAGTTCAACTGTCTTCAACTTCAACATGAAACAGTCGATCACATGACTATCAGTGTGACACACACACACACACACACACACACCCACACACACACACACACACACACACACACACACACACACACACACACACACACAGCAGCTTTCTGGACAGTGGCGTGAACTCATTGATCAGTGACAAGTCTAGGAGTCAGAGGTCAGTTCAGGTTTAGAACAGTGACCTCTACTGTTGATATAAAGTCATATCAATCTTAAAACACTTGATCTCTTCTAGTTTTTGTTAGGTTTAATTTTTTGTTAAAGATTTTTTTTAATTATTCTTCTGTCTTATTAAATGTATGAGAAAAGTTTAAAGACTCACTTTTGTTCGTCGTCTTTTTGAAGATCACTGCATTTTCACCAGATGTGAAAAATTTGAAATAAGTGCAGTTGGAATCTGTGGAGAAAAAAAACAAAATAAGTTTATCTCTCTATACTCTGTCTGTCAGTCTCCCCCCTCCTCCCCCATCTCTCTCCCCCTCCTTCATATTTCTCAAGTTATATTTTAAATTTAATAAAACAAACCCAAACAACCAGTGTGGGGGACGCTCCGTTTCCGCCTGTTTAAAATGATCGTCTTTACTGACATCAGAGATGCACATGGGTTTTTTTTAACTCGATAACTAAATACAAAAAACAAAAACCATTTAAACAAACTGGAACTGACCAGTTGGATTTGTTCCGATCTTTTTTACCTTTTTTTTTCATATTTCTGTGGGTCACGTGTATACGTGTACTGGGCAAAATACTGTGGTTATGACGTCGATATCAAGTCAAGTCAGCGACTACCAGCATTTTGACCGAGTTAACGAATTATTCACAGTAAGAAAAACTTTTATTCCGATTATACCGTTGCTGCTTGAACGCTACACTCACTGCAGTCCCCTGAGGTCTCGCAGAAAGGAGTGGGAGTGGCCAGAGCGCCTGATTAAAAAACGTGTGGGGTGTTTTTTAATCAGGCGCTCTGGCCACTCCCGAGCTGCTCACGAAAATGTACGGTATATTAAATATTATCAAGATGGCGTCTTTATTTCCTGATGTACGATAATCATCGAGCCGACAATCATCGTACACACCGAATACTACGCTAATGGTTGACGCATTTAATCATAAATACTCGCTGAGCTACATACAGTATGTGGAGGCAAATATTTGGGAAAATTATATTTGTATTATACATTTTCAGAAAATTATTAGTAGAGTTGAGCTGCCTTTGCTCAAAAGTTGACATTCCAAAAAAAATGTAAGTTTAAAAAAAAAACTATTATTATTATTTTTTATTCATTTACGGACCATTTCATTTTTAAAGACCTTTTCAGAAAAATTATTAATATACTGTCTTGTTTTTGATGAAAAGCAGATGTTCTAAAAAATATATAGTTTTTCTGAATTTTCAAAAAAATTGACTTTGCTCAAAATGATTTTGGTTCATATTCAATAAACTAATTCTTTCAATATACTTATATATATATATACATATATATACTTTAGTCCTAATGACAGACGTCAACCTCGTCTCTCACCTCCAGGTAGTTCAGCTGGACCACAGCTTGTCCTCTCCGGGTCAATGTCAGCCACCCACAGTGTGCGGATGCAGCCTTTCCAGAGGCCGTAGTGGGCCATCTGACAGGTCTGGTTACCGCTGAAATTCTTAGGCTGGGCCAGAACCGCCCAAAACTCTGTCCCCATGCCCAGGACCGTCAGCGTCACCCCGATGATGGCCACGAAGAAGGCCAGCTTGATCTTCCCCTCCTGGCTGTCACTCATCTTGTGTCGTCTGTGTCCCCGTCCTCCTTTCATTCCAGCCACCCCCCCACCTTGACCAACCCCCGCCACACCGATCCGACCCTCCTCATCCTGTACGAAGAAGTTGGACCACAGACTCATCTCAACAGGTCACCGGGCCCGGACCAGAAGATCAGGCGACGGGTGGAGGACTCGGGTTCAGTCTGGACCGGCAGAACCTAGATGAAGTTCTCCATCCAGGATTCAGGGAAAAGACGACGGAAAGTTCTGACTCGATAACGTTCTGAATGAGGGGGAGGGGCAGGAAGGGGCGGGGGACGAAGAAGAAATGCTGTGAGGCTGACACAGACGCAGGTCCCAGAAAACCAACGTCCGTCTTCGTCTGAAAAAGACAAATAAATATATATATATATATGTGTGTGTATACTTCATAGTTTTATTTTTATATATAAATAAACAAATACACACTTTATCATATTGTATATATTTTGTAGAGTCACATGTTTGTAGAGACTGTAGAGTTTGACTTCAGACACTGAACATTTCACTCTGATCTTTGATCGTCTCCCTCACAGGCAGGACCAGGACCAGGACCAGGACCAGGACCAGGACCAGGACCAGGACCAGGTCCAGAATGTTCGTCCAAAACCTAAATCCTTCCACTTACATAGAACCTGGACCAAACAGGACCATGAACCAGCACTGAACTGGAACACTGAGCCGACAGGTGTTTGAACCAGGTGACACCAGTGAGGCTAATGGACCGGACCAGTGAGAGTGGCATCACTGATTAACCCAGACTAACAGGAGAGGAGGGGGGAGACACGCCTCGCAGACACCAGTGTGTGTGTGTTGTTAGTTGTTGTTTGAACACACACACACACACACACATATTCTGGTGACTGTGGACACTGTGGACCGCTCAGTGGAATTCTGATCCAGCATTAACTGGAATGAAGGACAGGAAGAGAGTGACGGCCAAGTTAGTAATCACAAAATGACAATGATGACATCACATGACGTCCCTGGGGGGGGAGGGGGGGGATCACACCAGAGACTGAGGATTATTCAAAACCAGTCTAGTCACACACTTGTAGCTCACCGTGCACGACTACAGTGACACACACACACACGTCCACACACACACACACACAGCTCCGTTTGGGCTGCGACGAAACGTTTTTACCTCAGGAAGTGGAGAGAAAGTCTGAGCGTCGGCCGTGGAGTTCAGTTCAGGGTGAAGAGACCAAAGTGAATGGACGAGGAGACGGGAGAGTCCAGGGAGGAGGGGAGGGAGGAGGGGGGGAGTTATGGAAAGTAAGTCTGACAGGGGAGGGGGCTGCAGTCTGCTGGGTTTATTTAACCATTAGCAGTGTTGACGCTGTGTGTGTGTGTGAGAGAGAGAGAGGAAACTCCAGCAGCAAACACTCTGCGTGTCTTAAATCCGTCAGTGGAGGTGTTACAGGGTGGTGTGTGTGTGTGTGTGTGAATCTATTTTAAGCAGCCACCTGTTAATGACATTAAGTGAGGCTGGAGGCGGAGCCTGTGCTCATATGAGCGACTGGCACAGAGGGAGAAGGGGGGGGGGGGGGGGGGGGGGGGGGGGGGGGGGGGGGGGGGCAGCACGGGGGTCGTACGTGATTGGACCATGACTCCAGGTCTCAGTCTCTGAGTTCTCAGGTCTCAGAGACTGAGGGTGATGATGATGTCATGATGACATCACCACAGCACATTTGATGTTTGGATGAAACCTGGATGAACACGTTCTTATTCAGACCCGACTGTGACCTGGTGTCAAAGGTCACTGAAGAGGAGAGCAGATGGGGGAGGGGCCGAGTCTGGACTCATCTGTTGTCAGACGTGGTGACATTTATGAATGAGGATAAAATATTATCAAACATCCAATTAAAGCATTTCAATAACACATTTTAAAAATAAATTTAAAAATTACCTTAAGAGCAAATTTGATTATTGACATCAAGACACGGACCAGATGTTGGCGATTCATGGGCCAGAAGTGGTCCCCAGGCCGGGAGTTTGACACCACATGTTGCTCGTGTGACCACGGACTGTTTTGTATTCATGTACTTTGGACTTTTATTGTAGTACCGTATACTTGACTTTTGACCTCCCAGTCCTGCAGACGTGTCTGTGGTCCAGTACAGACTGAACCACCAGACGGAAAAGAAACTCTTCGTTTTGACTGTTTCAATTTTTTTTTTTTAAGAATTGTTAAAAAAACAAGCGTCCATTTTTGTTGGCCATAGAGATTAATATCAAGAGATGACGTCAGAGTAAAGGTGCAGCTTCTGTAAAATGGCTCCATCTTTTGGACAGAACCATTAACTTCAGCATCTGATTAATTAGGACCTTAGTTCTAAAGCTGTGGTCCATGTTGTACTGCAGTATTTTCCTGTACTCTTCCTGAGGGTCAGTGTTGCCAGCTCTACAGAACAACAGGGGGAGTGGTCTCAAAATAAGGCTGGGGGGCCAATTAGTAGATCGTGTTCTAGTAGATCACAACGGGACTGGAGTTGAATCCTGAGCAAAAAAACCACAGAGTTATAACCAGACCAACAACATCAGTGATTAGAAACGATATATTCAGCTCATAAACACAGATTTACAGCTGGTCCAAAAACAGGTACAAGTTGTGAAAAACCTGGTAAATAAAATGAAACGTCATACTGAACCTCAGAAAAGTCATCTCCAGGAAAAAACAGATTTTTCCAGACTGGGAAAAATGCTGCTGGTGCTGGGGGTGGGGTGGGGGGGAAGAGCCAAAATAACATGAAAGACGACATCATGTAAATTCACTTTTTATTCAACATTTTGAAAACAAATTGGACAAATGAAAGAGACTTCCTGTCTTTATAAACTAATGGGGTTTTTTAAGATTTTCAATTGTTTTAAGAAATCACATTTTCTCCAGAGAGAGAAAAACAAAAAGGACACAGTAATAGTGAAAAAGAAGCTTTTTTTAACAACACCTTCTCTCTGATACCGTCTCCCTGCAGCTGTTTAAGCAGTTCAAGGTGTTACATGAAAGTTTAGTCGTGAGCCCAGTGTGGTCGTCATGGAAACAAAGGCAGGAGACGAGGGGGGAGAGGAACAACATCCTGACAACAAGGGAAAGAAATCATGAGGAGGAAAAGTCGGAGGGAAAATTATTTCAGTTTACCACAGAAAAAAGAAAATGTGAAGAGAAAGTCCGACGGACCGGAGTCCGGCGGGCCGGAGTCCGACGGACCGGAGTCCGACGGACCGGAGTCCGACGGACTGTTAATCCTGCAGTACAACATGAGCCATGGATGGTAGTCACACACATACACACAGATGTGAAATCCTGTGTGTGTGTGTGTGTGTGGGGGGGGGGGGGCAGGAACAACAACAACAACAGTGGTGAGTGACGGTGAACAGCAGGGGGCGATGAGTGTTCTGTGATGTTGAACGGATGCTGACGTGTCGTGTTAAGGCTGTTTTGGTGAAGAAGTCGTTCACCTTCACTGATCCAAACTGTCTGTGTTTACACCAATCAGGACAACACACACACACACACACACACACTCCACCACAGGACAGGAAAACAACAGTCCTCAGTCATCACTCCGCTGTTACAGACACTCATCACAACCGTTACAGGTCCAATTATACAAGCAATTGTCCTGAGGGGGGCAGTAGCGGGCCAGTAATGAAGACTGTGTGTGTGTGACTCAGGGATGTGTGTGTGTGTCTATATAATTAAAGAAACGTCCCCCCCCCACAGATCTGTCCAATTACGTCTCTACAGCTCCTCCTAAAGTACTTCAAACAGACTAGCTCCATTTAAATACAAACCTGTAAGTGCCCCCCCACCCCAAAATAACTCCCATTCACAAAGTATAAAAATGGTTAACCCTAATCTTAGACATTTCTCAAAAATCTTTGTTGCCCCACCCCCACCCCTCCCCCAGCTCCAGCTCTGACCAGTTAAAACCTCCTCAGTTTCCTTCGTTTCTTCCATCTGATCTCAGCCTAATGATGAATTAGTCCAGAGCTGCTGGAGGCTAACCC